GTTCATGCTCTGTCTCTCTCTGTCCCAAAAATAAATAAAAAACGTTGAAAAAAAAAATTTAAGACTATGAGAAATCCTAAGTAAACTTCTACCTTAGAATCTCCCCAATTCATTTCACCAGAGCACTTTTTTTCCCAAGCAAGATTTACTAATATAGATGTATTTATTAACGTAGTCAATAACAGCATAACAAGCATTTTTTAAGTAACGGATGGGAAATTCTGGTTCTGACTTTTTTTGGCTTCTCATTCTTAGACTAGAAAATAGCACTTACCAAGCAAAGTCATTGTATGTCACATGATTGAATAGTTTAATTCTATAAAGAAGTTTTTTAAAATTTTTATTTCCTACTACTTTTAGTGATAAAGCACTATTACCATCCAGTAGTGTCATCCATTTTTACAAGAGACAAGAATTGTCTGACAACATTTGCTTCTTTGGTCACTGAGCTTTGACAGTTAGAAGCTAATGGCAGCTAATTAAAATGAAACTGGTATTGTTATTTTATATACAGGCTTTGGAGTAAATATATTCAAATACTTTAGTCATAGAAAATGGTTGTGTGTTGGCAGTCATCCCAAACGCTTTACTTGGTCATTGTATAATCTGCTCAACCTCAGAGCCATTAGGAATAAAATAAACTAAAAGAATAGAGTACTCTGCTTCAAATATTGTATTTAGTAAAACCAGCTTTATGGTAATTTTTTAAATCTAAAAAAAATATCTAACACTGAAAACATTAACACATGGAAGAATGAAGTAGAGTACCATTTTATATTGGTCAGCTGGGCTGACCCCGGGGATCACAGAACAGGCTTTTTAGAAAACTGCGTTAAAATATGAGGCCAGGACAGGTCTCCCTCTCCCTCAATGCCCAGGTCTGGCCACCAGCAGGCCACTGAGTTCAGATAAGAGCTCTGAAGTGTCTAAGCACGAGCATTCTGCTCAGGAGGGAATCAAGTGCCAAGATGGTCACCAGGTTGCCGGGAGACCCAGGTTCTACTTACCCAGACAGTCACTTGTTAAGTTCATGACCCTTAACACACCATTATCCCATTTGTGAGAAAAGGCGAACTAATCACTGTTGTAAAATCTAACAAATCCAATTAACAGCTCCTCCTTTGCCAGATTGTGAGTAGAGGAAGAAAGGAAGTTGACAAACGGATTTTCTCTGAGATGGGGAGAAGAGCTAAAAGTTTTCCCCTTATAGTGTCAGTATCCTTTTCTTTTTTTGCTCTTAATTTTTAAATAACTTATAGAAGTATAGTGTACATAGTGAAAAGGGCACAAATCATAAGTATACGGATCAGTGAATTTTTACCACGTGAGCACACTTATGAAACCTCTGACTCCATCAAGAAATAAGAGTATTACCAGCATCCTAGAAGCCTCCAGGCACACCTCCAGTCTCTGCCACCTCCGTGGGTGACAACTATCCTGACTTTTTTAAAAATTTAATTTATTTTACTTATTTTTAATTTTAATTTACATCCAGGTTAGTTAGCATATAGTGCAACGATGATTTCAGGAGTAGATTCATTAATGTCCCTTACCATTTAGCCCATTCCCCCTTCACCATCCTTCCAGTAACCCTCTGTTTGTTCTCCATATTTAAGAGTCTCTTATGTTTTTGTTCTTCTCCCTGTTTTTATATTATTTTTGCTTAACTATCCTGACTTCTAACATCATAGGCTACTTTTGCCTATTTTGTACTTTATAGGTATGGACTCATACTGTTGATGAGTTCTACTGTTGATGATCAGTTGAGTTGTTCCCACTATTTGGTTATTACCATTATTGCTGCCATGAATATTCTAGTATATGTTCCTTGGTGCACATATGCGTGCATTAAGGTGTACACCTGAGAGTAAATTGCTAATTGTTCTAGGATGTGCATGGTTTTCCAAGTGGCTGCACTAATTTACATTCCCACCACCTTTGTACGAAAAGTTCATTTGCTCCACTTACTTTGCATTTAGAATTGTCAGGATTTTCATTTTAGGCGTTATGATGGGTGTATATTTCATAATGGTTTTCATTGTGTTTCTCTGATGACTAATGTGGTTGAGCCTCTTTTCATACTTTACTGGTCCTTTGGGTCTCCTCTTTTGTAAAGAACCTGTCACATTTTGCCTATTAGGTCAGATAGTTGTCTGTCTTTACCAAGAGTTCTTTACATGTTCTGGATACAAGTCCTTTGCCAGATATGCGTATTGCACAGATACTCTCCCACTCTGTGACTTACATTTTCACTCTCAATGGTGTCTTTTGATAAAGAGAAGTTTTTTTTTAATGTGGTTTAGTTTATGAGTTTTTTGCCATTATGATGGGTACTTTAAAAGCAAATCTTTGTTTCTCCCATATAATCTTTTAAAATGGCATTTGTATAGTGGGATTTTACCTATAATAGCACTAAGGCTTTATTTTTTTAGCTATGCTTTCATGGCAGATTAGAGCAGCAGTAGGGCTTTGCAAATGAAGCTGTCAAGAGGAGTGGATCTTTTTTCTGTTGTGAAAAGATATTCTGTTTTATTTTAACAAAGGAAAATTAGTTATCAGTTTCTTCTTCTGATTAAATGTACTTAACTCCCTTTTAATTTCCATAAACTTTAAACAACTTACAAAAAAGATTTTTCTATATATAAAGGTAAATATTCTTATAGTTTTATACAGAACCATTCAGCTTTAGAAATAATTAACAGTATCAATACCAGAAAAAAATATACCTATGTTGTTATAAATGCGGTTGATCATACTTGTGTCTAATAATTTTATCATTTTTAGAACTTTTTGAAAATGAGCATGTACGTATTGGGCAAAAAGGTAAGCTTTTGATTCTACTAATAATGATTTCTGAAAATGAAACAGTCTTAAGTAAATGTCTGCATCATGTACCTCCAACTGAAATTCAATCTCTGGAAAGCTAAAAATCTAAAAAAGAGTACTATTTAACTATGTAGGTAATATAATGGGAATCTTTATAAAGAGGAGGAATGCATCATTTTGGCTTCATCAATAAATGTTAGATAAAGAAGAACACAGATGGTTCACTAAAAAGGAAATAATAAATGCAGACACACATTCTTCGAAAATGTGAGCTTAATCCATTCAGCAGAATTTCATTTTAAAATCAAAGAGGAAGGCTGTCTCTTTCATGCGCCCACACACTTCTCATTAGCGTTAATTGGAATATGCCCCTGCATTAGGAGAAGCTGTACTTCTCAATGACTGTTCACAATGGTAAGACTTAATACCCAAAGCGGCCCTTAGTGTTCTGGGGAATAATTTTTTCCCTATCTTTTGAAGATTCTTCTCCTTGTTTTTATAAATCTTATTTTGTCTTTGAAATGTGAAATGCAGATAAGTCTTTGTGTCAGAATGTACCTTCTAGGGCGATTGTCATGTTCTAAACTCCATACTTCAATTTTTCAAAATAATATTTATTCAAGACATCATCATTTTTTACTCGTATGTTTGACGTTTTCATTAAACAGAGTTGCAAATTAAGGAATATGTCTCATTTCTTTTTTTTTTTAAGTTTATTTATTTTTGAGACAGAGAGAGACAGAGCATGAACGGGAGAGGGTCAGAGAGAGAGGGAGACACAGAATCTGAAACAGGCTCCAGGCTCTGAGCTGTCAGCACAGAGCCCGACACAGGGCTCGAACTCACAGACAGCGAGATCATGACCTGAGCCGAAGTTGGACGCTTAACCAACTGAGCCACCCAGGCGCCCCATGTCTCATCTCTTTTATATGATCCCTTTGTTTCTTTTGGATATGTCATTTTCATTTAGTACAAGTTTTTTCCCTTTTCTTTTAAGAAGAAAATAGAAGAAAATAATATATTAGACAAATATCGGCAGTTGTCTGATATGTCTTTTTTTGCTTTTATTTTTATTTTGTGTGTTTTGGGAGAGCCTTTATTTTCAGACTTAATAGCTAGTATTTTAATTAAAGAAAATAAAAATGAAAATGAAAGCAAAAGCATAATATCTTAATTTTGTGAACTTGGCTGATTATAAAGAGCTTTTGGCCTTCTTAAAAGATTATTAGTTCTTTTCTGTTTTTAGTTCTTTTTTAAAAAAATCTCTCTCTTCTGTTGATTTTGGGAAATAGCTAAGAAGTCATCGAATTCTTTATAATTCTTAGCCATAATACTTCAAATACCATAGTACTTCAAAATACTAGAACATTCCTGACTTAGAGAATATGCCTAAGAAATTTATGTGTCTATATCACTAGTTTCAGATCCGTGGAACAAAGTGATTTCAAAGTACCCACATTAAAAATTTTTACCAAATTGGGTGGGAGGTAGAGGAATTTCAGACTCAACATGTATAGGGCTGTAAACAGGGCCACATCAAAATTCAGAGAGTACAAGAAGGCTGTCAAGACATGATGTAATTATGTTAGATATAGAGATGAAATATTAGCTTCCCCAAAGATTTTTAGTTAAAATATTTCAGTGTTGTCTTACATTATGAAATTTGTAATGAGATTTTACTCTACTTTTGACAGTTCTAGCAGAACAAGATAGTGCCGCTGCTCAACAGTATATCAGACAAGGAAGCCCCACAGCACTGAGAGCGGAATTATGGGCTCTCATTTTGAATATTTCCAGTCAACCTGAGGTAAGAGTCAAAGAAGATAGGCTAAATTTGAGCTCATTGACATTTATTCTTCAATGACCAGTGATTCACATTGTTGTTTTTTTTTTTTTTTATTTTTTAAATGTTTATTTATTTTTGAGAGAGAGAGAGGCAGAGTGTGAGCAGGGGAGGGGCAGAGAGAGAGGGGGACACGGAATCCGAAGCAGGCTCCAGGCTCTGAGCAGTCAGCACAGAGCCTGATGCGGGGCTCCAACCCACGTACTGTGAGATCATGACCTGAGGCAAAGCTGGACCCTAACTGACTGAGCCACCAGGTGCCCCAGTAACCAATTATTCAAAATAGAAATACTTTTTTTTTTAAATTTTGGTTTCTTAGCCTTATATATTTACCCCCTTTTTCATTTACAAAAATCACTGTAGTTTTGAGTTCTAAGACAAGATTAACATAGAATATAATCACTGTGTGCTTAACATAGAAGTTTTTGTTACGATAATTAGTTGGATATTTTACACTTATAGGTAAAAGAACCGTAAATAAAATTTTAAGAAATGGAGTCTGCCAGTGGAGATCAGTGAAGACATGTGAAAGAACTGGGATATTAGAATAAGGAGAGATAAAGGACCACTCAGTATATGTAAATGAGCGCTTTCTCCCTACAGTTGCTTTTGAAACATGCACTATTTTTAGGGTTCTAAAAACTGACAGATTATGTGGCAATATTAGTTTTCTTAGTACAGGAACATTTTATTTTAGGAAATAAAATGAATATGAAGAGAAATCACCAACAGGCAAGTAACAGATTCAATAAAGAACAATTATATAAAACATTGATTCTTTTTGAAAAAAAATTGTTGTTTTACTTAAAGCCCATTGATCATATAACCCATCCATTTAAAGATTTTCAATAAGTAGCGAACTAATAGCTCCCTGGCCTAGTGGTTAAAAGCATGGGTTTTGCAGGGGACGCCTGAGTCAGTTAAGGCATCTGACTCTTGATTTTGGCTTCAGGTTATGATCTCATGTTTCATGAGATCAAGCCCCACATTGGGCCCCACGCTGATGGTGTGCGGCCTGCTTGGGATTCTCTCTCTCCCTCTCTCTGCTCCTTCCCCACGTGCACAAGCACTTTTCTCTCTCTCTCAAAATAAATAAACTTAAAAAAAAAAAAAAAAAAAACTTGGGTTTTGGAATTATATGGACCTAGTTTCCACTCTAAGCTTACTTAAAATGTGCCATTGAGTGAGTTAAATTTCTTGAAACCTCAATTTACCCATGCTGAAATATAGGTAATAATATTTATATCATAAGGTGGTTATGAGAATCAAATGAAAGGATATCTATGTCTTCTAACACAGTGCCTGACATGAATGGTCAACATTAATGATAGTAACAAAATAATACTTACATGTTGCATAGTTTTATGTTATAAATTAATTGTAATTTAGAGTAATGGTTTTTAAGAAAATCAACTATTCATATTATTATAAGAAGTACACCTCTGACTTTTGCAAATTATGTTACATGTGTGCTTTTCTGTGTATGTGTGTGTTTTGAATTTCCCTCTGTGAACATCACTGTCAAAAATTACTTGCTTCCTTTCTGAAAGAATAAACCTTGTGATTGAGTTCCAAGAAGTTTTAGACCAAATGATATTGGTATCTTTTGTGGTGACACTAGAAGTAAGTTTACAGAACAGAAGTGAGTGTACATTGGGCATTTTGGGGGAGAGTATCAACTCTTGGAGAAGAGATGGTAACTCTTGTCGATCTAACTGTGTAGGTGACCTACCAAGTTCACTCATCAGGAGCTAGATTAACAAAACTTGTCTCTCCAGAGGAACTAATTGCTACTATTTTAGAAACAAATTTAGAATTTTTCCAGAAGTATCATCCTAGAGGGGCACCTGGGTGGCTCAGTTGGTAGAACATCTGACTCTTGATCTCAAGGTCTGAGTTCAAGTTCCATGTTGGGCATGGAGACTACTTAAAAAAAAAAAAAAAAAGTGTCATCCTAGAATAAGAATAGTAATCCCAATTAAATTCCAATAAAAAATGGTTGTTTATTATAATGTTCAAAGGCAGTTTTCACACTTGAATTTTGGAGCTAATAGTCATCTTAATTTTTTTTGTTTATTTATTTTGAGAGAAAGAACGAGCATGAGCAGGGGAGGGTCAGAGAGACAGGGAGAGAGAGGATCACAAGCAGGCTCTGCACTGTTAGCACAGAGCCCAACTCAGGGCTTGAATTCACAAATCATGAGGTCATGACCTGAGCTGAAATCAGAAGTCGGACGCTTAACCAACTGAGCCACCCAGGTGTCCCGTCATCTTAATCTTTAAATGCACAATGGCAAGTCTGGAAATAGAAATTAATATTTGCAGAAAAGCAACCTTGATTTCATTGAATAAAACACTTTCCATCACTTTCACTTATTTTCAGGTGTAAAAGTATGACCTCAACAAACTAAAGCAGTTCCAAAATAATTGTTGTAGGTGGTAGGTACATTGGGTGGGTGGGGTGGGAGGGAAGAATAGTCGTTTCTTATCAAGAATACTTTATCAGAACTTTTTTTCAATCACTTAAAATACGCGACATGTAGAAATGCATCATAATTGAGGAGTTACAGAGATAAGTGGAATATTTCACATTTCACACCCATGAAGATATTTTTAAAAATCTTATCTCAATAGATAAACTGGATTTAATGATTTAAGTTCCTAGTAATTAATTTATTTCACTAGAACATTATTTACTTCGATGTTTTTTCTCTTATTAAGGAAATACGTCATACATTTAAAAAGATTGCTTTTGTATATTTTCTTATATGCAAATCTCTAGGTGCCCATCAGGATATCCATATTTAGTAAACATTCATCCTATTTTAAATTTTTTTGCTTAATTTAGTTTGCTAAAGAATTCTGAAAATTCTTCTCTACTTTGTTTTAGGTACTTGCTTACTAATAAATAGCCAGGACTAGTATTAATTAAAATTTTCTTTAGTGAGTTCATAAGTTTCTCCACAACCTTCCCCAGGTCGATAACAATGCCTGATCTTCCTAGATTTTCCTGGTCAGCTCATTCAGTCTTCATAGTGCCCGTTTCTGACTTTCATTCTCAACACTTCTTTTCAGAGTCTTAGCAAAACGCCTCATCTTCTCCTTCCTGGAGAAAACAGAAATCATCATAAGAGACTCGCTCAGATTCCTTCCACCAAATCTGTAAACTTATTTGCATCAGCACCTGTTCTTGCCTCCTGTACTTTTATAGCGAAACCTTCTGAAAGAAAAGTCTGTGTTGGAGGCATCACTTCCATTAATTACTCAGTCTACCATGGTCTGGCATACACCCCACTACATGACTACAACTGCGATGGCTAAAGTCACCAAAGAACAGTGGATACATTTTAGCCTTTACGTCTACTGTGTTTGATACTCTTGCTTACTCTGCCCTTGAAGTATTCTTGCTCTTTAATTTAGTTTGCCCTGTTTTCTTAGTTCTTCATTCCCTTTCTTTCTTTCTTTCTTTCTTTCTTTCTTTCTTTCTTTCTTTTTCTTTCTTTTTTTTTTTTTTTCATGTCCATTTTGAGTTCCTTTGCTGGACCTTAAGGGCTTGTATTTGTAAGAATTCCATTTTGATCTTCTTTTCATTCTGTACTACATGTTGCCTGGCCTGTCTTACTTACAGGTCACTTATTCCCTAATGGCTTTGACTCTGGGTTCAGCCAAACTCTCTCTTACACCTAAAACTTTAATTTCCAGTTGCCTACAGGCCTTTATTATTTCAAGCCACTAAGTTTGTGATAATTTGTTACACAGCAATAGCAAACTAGTACATGAACTGAAAAGCTGTCAAACTCACAGTGGTTGATAAAAGTTTTCCAAGGTTCTAGTTTTCACGTGACAGCTCAATTTATATCAACAACTGCTGCTAGCTGAGAAGCTCTCTTCATTTCTTTGGAGAACATGTGTACCAAAATCCCAAGTTTGAGTAACCATAGTTTTTCAGACATTTTTTTTTCTTTTTAAAATTTTTTTTTTCAACGTTTATTTATTTTTGGGACAGAGAGAGACAGAGCATGAACGGGGGAGGGGCAGAGAGAGAGGGAGACACAGAATTGGAAACAGGCTCCAGGCTCTGAGCCATCAGCCCAGAGCCTGACATGGGGCTCGAACTCACGGACCGCGAGATCGTGACCTGGCTGAAGTCGGACGCTTAACCGACTGCGCCACCCAGGCGCCCCTCTTTTTTCTTTAGTTAAAGAGTGTAAGTCTGCATAAAGTACCAAACAAATATATATACTAAAGTTTAAATATCCTCTGATGCTAAAAATTTGGGCTACTTTGTTTTTCAGAGATGGCTTTTTATAATTATAATTTATTACTCTTAAACATCTATATTACTGGAGCTTAAAAATATCCTGTTATATTATTAGTAATCATTGCATTTTCTAATTGCTTATATATTTTATAGACTATAATTAAAATATTAATATAAAAATCATCGTTTATCACTATAACATAGTTATAATTTCAACTTTATTATCCGTGTTTTTCTTTCATTTTATATGGATAAATTACACTAAAAATTACTGAAACCAAACATCCTAGATTGGAATTAAGAGGACTAGATGAGTCACTAGCCAGTTCTGTAAGTTTGGCTAAGACAGTTAACTTGGCCAGATCTCATTTCCTTAATGTTCAAATAAGGCAAATAGACTAGGTATTTCCAAGGTACCTTCTAAGTCTCAAATTCTCTGATATGTTTTTATTTTTCTCTTAATTAAAAGTAGATTTTTGTCAGTAGCACTGTTACATGCCTAAAGTTATAGATGTTAAGTTATTCACAGCACTTTGAAGATATACTTCTTTATGGAAGCATACTGCACTAAGATTAAAAATTTAATGACTTTCTTTTATTGAAATATTTATTAGTTTCCTAGCATTGGTTATGAAGGGTATTTATCATTAATTTATAATAAAAAACATTACAAATATGATTACAAATTACTACTTAGAATAGCAATTAACATGAAATTCCCTATGGGAATTTGTAAATTATAGGCAATAATGTAAATATGAATACATGTAGGTATGTAGTGGTATTTCATTGTTGTTTTCATTTACATTTCCCTCATGACATATGATGTGGAACATCTTTTCATATGCTTGTTTCCTGTTTGTAAGTCTTCTTTGTTGAGGTGTCTGTTGAGCTCTATAGCCCATTTTTTAATTGCGTTGTTTGTTTTCTTGTTGAGTTTTAAGAGTTCTTTGTATATTTTGGATAAAAGTCCTTTATCAGATATATCTTTTGCAAATATTTTTTTCCTGGCCAGTGGCTTGTTTTCTCATTTTCTTGACATTGTCTTTTGCAGAGCACAAGTGTTTAATTTTAATGCAGCCAGCCCATCCATTATTTCTTTTTATGGATCATGTCTTTGATTATATCTAAAAAGGCATCACCATATCTAAGGTCATCTTGGTTTTCTCCTGTATTATCCCCTATGAGTTTTGTAGTTTTGCACTTTACATTTAAGTCTGTGATTTATTTTGAGTTGATTTTTGTGAAGGGTGTAAGGTCTGTATCTAGATGATGGTGATGATGATGATGGTGATGATGATGATTGCATGTGGATGTCCACTTGTTTTATCCTCCTTTTTGTAAAGATTGGTTTTTGGTTTTTGCTCCTTATATTTCCTTTACTTCTTTATCAAAGATCAGTTGACTATATTTATGTTGGTCTGTTTCTGGAATCTGTTTTGTTCCACTGATTTGTCTATTCTTTTGCCAATACCACCTTGCCTTAATTACTGTAGTTTTATAGTACGTCTTGAGGTTGAGCAATATCAGTCCTCCAACATCGCTTTTCTCCTTCAGTATTGTGTTGGCTATTCCGGGTCTTTTATTTCTTGATATAAGCTTTAAAGTTTCCTCTTTCTTCTTCAGTATTGTGTTGGCTACTTTGGGTCTTTTACCTCATGATAAAAAACTTTAGATAATCAGTTTGTCAGTATCCACAAAATATCTTCCTGGGATTTTGATTGGGATTGCTTTGAATCTATAGATCAAGTTACAAAGAATACATATCTTGTACAAGATATGTATTGACATATTGATTGACAATATTGGTTGTATTGACATATGATTGACAATATTGATTCTTCCTATCTATGAACATGAAATATCTCTCCACTTACTCAACTTTTCTTTGATTTCATTCATCAGAATTTTGTGGCTTTGCTCATGTAGATCTTACACATATTTTGTTAGATTTATATCTAAGTTGAAATTATTCTCTGGGGGGCTGGTGTAAATGGTATTGTGTTTTTAATTTCAAATTCCCCTTGTTCATTGCTTGTATATAGGAACATGATTGGCTTTTGAATATTAACCTTTTTATCTTGCAATCTTGCTATAATTGCTTATTATTTCCAGGAGGTTTTCTTTGTCAAATCTTTTGGGTTTTCTACATAGACAGTCATGTCATTTGCAAACAAAGACAGTTTTACTTCTTCATTGTGAATCTGTGTACCATTTATTTCCTTTTTCCTGTCTTATAGTAGCTAGAACTTCCACTATGATGTTGAAAAGGAGTGGTGAGAGGGGACATCCTTACCTTGTACCTAATTTTAGGGGGAAAGCTTTGAGTTTCTCAGCATAAGCATTATGATAGCTGTAAGTATTTTTGTAGCTATTCTTTATAAAGTTGAGGAAGTTCCCCTCTATTTCTAATTTATGAGAGTTTTTATTATAAATGAGTATTGTATTTTGTCAAATGCTTTTACTTTTTCTATTGATGTAATCATGTTTGTTTTTTTTTCTTGTTAACCCATGATGTGATAGATTACATTAATTGATTTTTAAATGTTGAACCAGCTTTATAAACCTGTGGTAAATCCCATGTGGTCCTGGTGTACAGTTCTTTTTATACATTGTTGGATTCAATTTTGCTACTCTTTTGTTGAGGATTTTTTTTTCTATGTCCATGAGTGATATTGGTCTCTTTTCTATTCTTGTGATAGAATAGATAGTGTTATTTGTGTGTGATAGAATAGTGTGATAGAATAAATAGATAGTGTTATTTGTGGTGGCAAGCAACTTCAGTATTCATCTACAGGAGAAAGATTAAATAAATTATGGTCGGTCTATGGCACAGCTTTAAAAATATTACAGTGTATTTAGCTATTAAGAAGAAAGACAGATGTATACTTGCTGACATAGAGGGATGACCATGATATGTCTAAGTTAGAGAAGCTGAATGAGTATAGTATGATTCCCGTTTATGTTAAAAAATGACAACCAAAACCCTTACATATAATTATATATTTGTACAAATGTGGAGAAAGCTATGGAAGAATACAAATTACAAATAATGTTATAAATACAACACAAATAACATTCTTTTCTTTGGGAAAGCAGAATGGAAAAAGAAAGGATTATTAAACTTTTTCTTTATCCAGCTGTAGATTGTTTCACTTTTTTTTAACAGTCATATATCAGTTTGTGATTTTTTATTTATTTTTTTTTTTAAAAGAGGCATAACTCTGAATTTCTTAGCTTTTCCACCCCCGTTGCTAGGAAATATTAGAGTATAATGCTAGGCTCTTTGCCAGTTGTCAAGGGTTGGTATTTGAATTAGGTACTATTCCTATCTTTAAGAATGTTCTTTTATTTTAGTGAGAGAAATGGATTCAATAGGTACAATGGAAGTTAAAATAATAAAATAATTTTGCCTTAGTTAAGAAATCAAAACATCATAAATAAGAGCAAAGTAAGACTTTTTTTAAAATTAAAATTAAAACGACTAAAAGTAGCTAGTAAATCTCCAGATTATCTTTAGGCAAAGAGCACTTTCACACAAATCAGAGCACTCTGTATTAAGCATCTTTCAAGATTAAGAAATTAATTTCAGGGGCGCCTGGGTGGCTCAGTCAGTTGAGTGTCTGACTCTTGATTTTGGGTCAGGCCATGATCCCAAGGTTGTGGGACAGACCCCTGTGTCTTGTTCTCTGCTGAGGGTGGAGTCTACTTGAGATTCTCTCTCTCTCCCTTTTCCTCTGCCCCACTCCCCAGCTCTCTCACTCTCTCTCAAAAAAAAAATCATATTTCATATTTCAGGAAACATATGTGCACACACACCTATTGTGTGCAAGGCAGGTGCACGCAATAGATACTCTTTGTCCCGAGCAACCCTGTCCCACAGCTCTTACCCGTCTGAGGGAATATCTTCAGAAAGATTCATACAGATTGGCATGTACTAGTGGAGCCAAGCAGTGTTTGGATATGGGCAGAAACTAAGACTAAAGTGCCTAAGAGATGACTGGAGGGATTTGGAGGAACGTAAGGGTCAGCTAAAACAATGAGTTGCTATTTCCATCTGTCTTTAAGACAACTACTGCCACTTGATCCTTACCTTCAT